TTAAGCTGCAGCAAGGTAAAATCGCCAGTAAGTTTGAAATAAGGTCATAAGCAGAAAGAAGAATGCATGGTAATTTTAATAGCAATCCAAAAGAATAAAAATGTGTTTGTAGACCGAAGACCTGTCCTTCAAGACAATTTGCAAGGCAGAAATACCGATGTGGCTAGGGACACTAGCCAGACCATTGGAGAAGCCTGATCATAAATAAAAACTGTTCACTTTAAGTCGCTTAAGGTGATAAAGGACTGATGACTGAATTTTCCCAAGCTTCAATTAAATTTCATGTAGCCTTGATTCCCAAAAGGCTTTCTCATCCAAGGCGGACTGCAGTCTTGACCTTGCCCAGGTCTCATCAGCAGCCCCAACGTAGATCGAAACCGAGTAGCACAGCGTACAAGCTTGATACTATCACCACGCCATTGTCATGAGTGCCCTTAGGTCACGGTGCACACGCGCATTTCAACGAAGTCCAGGCTTATCCCATGTCGCATTTATGTGGTTGGATTTTCGATAAAGCAAGCTTGTATTTGATATTTAAATCGACTACATTGCTTATATTCGTATTGAATAGGCTTCGCGACAACCAGTAGCCCTCGAATAAGAGAGGATTTCAGTTGCACACAGCTCTTATTCAAATCTACTAATATTTTCTAAGCCTACTCAACGCTAATACGAGTTGATTGTGATAGCAAATAGAAGTTTTATTCATTGACAATTCGAAAACAGATAATATAAGACAAAAGCCTGGAATTTCTTGAAATTTGCGTCGACCTTGTCACCCAAGGATGCTCGTGGCAGTGTAACGTGTTGACATTATACGCCGCACTACTCGGGTTGGGTTCCAGCTTGGATTGTAATGAGACTTAGGCGAAGTCGAAGCTGTAGTGAAACCGTGGGCGTAAATACCTTACAGGAAATAAGTCTATTTGAAATCAAATGGAAACTTACAACCTACTCATATCATTGTGAGGAGTTTAATTATCAGTCTTTCATTATCTTATGCAACCTAGGCCGAATACAGCTCTTAGTCAAGCTCTACGGGTAGTTTTAAAACCTAGTTAATACGAATATAAACCTAATCATTCTTTAAAAACTTACTCAATAAATCGAATTTCAGTAAAGTCGTGAGAGCAGGCAATCGGTCATGTTTGATGAAGTGTATTTGAAGAATAAAAATATTAAACAAAAATGTCAAAAAATGCATTCATTCTTAGGCGATCCTTGCACTCTAATCATTGTAAACGAAAATGAACCTGTGAAAAAAACGGAAAAGAAGAATAGTGATTAGGTTAGGTTAATAAATAAATGAGCAAAATAAATATAAATCCAAAGTCCTCGTATTTAAGACAAGGAGGACACTGGTTCTTGAGTAATGATTAAGTTGACTAGCAGCTGAGTTTTACCTTGCTAACCAAGTATTTTTATGTTCGAAACCGCGTTATCTAAACCCGCTTTTAGTTTAAACTTGCTTACATATTTACGTAGAAAACCGGAAGTAGCTAGCTTAATTACAACTGTTCGTGATGATAAGTCTGCCGTCAAAATTTCCTAAGTGAATTTTTAGTCTGCCTTGGCCTAGTCTAAGACTAGCGAGATTAGAGTGAGCAATGAAGTTTAACAAAAAATTTTGAGTATAAAACGAGAAAGTGATGGAGACGAGGATAAGCTCAGTTTTGTAAAATTACAAATTTCTAATTACATGTAAAAGGCCGGAAAGAAATTGACTATTCTCTGGAAAATATTTTAACCAAAAACATAGATCAGTATATATTTAATTAAATATAAGAAAATATAAATCATCATTGAGTAAGGTGCAACGTAGGTTGATTGCAAACTAAAATTGTCTCTCAGAAGTATAAGGCTCAAAAATGAAAAGATTTGGTGATAAAACGAACCTGCTCAAAACCTGTGGTAAGGAGGCGATTATAGGGCCGTAAGTTCGTGAATTGTCAAAAAGTTCGAAAAGCGGAGCCGCGACTAGTTTGTAGTTGGAAGGTACCGAAAATAAGGTTTTCTCGCCGAGCTGGATAAGAAAAAGGCGGGTATTTTCCTTTGGTTTGGTTACATGAGCCGGGATGTAGGGATAGCGGGGCGGCTCAAAGTTCGGCCTCCACCAATTTCCTATACACTCTTCAGGCATCCAGTCAGGAGCAATGCCATCGGTGCGACCAAGCATCTATAAAAGGTAGAAATATTTAAGATGAACGAACATTTGAGTAATGAATGGATAGTGAGAAGAGAG